TCCGTTGTCAGTCCCACCAGCATTAGAAAGAATCCTTCGCGACATCGCTGCAAAGTATGGATTCCAAGAGACAAAGTAAGCGTCAGTCGTCAAGTCTCTAGCGAAACAGAGTTTCATGAAGCAGAGAAGTAGTGCATCCGCCCAAAAATCAGAATTTCGGTGTACTCCACGAGCGCATTTACTCACGGGCCTTTTTTCTGATTAGAATTCCTCCTCTCAAGGGCTAAGCTGAATTGTCATGTTGCGGAAAGTGCCCAGCATGCTTGATTCCCTATGATTCCTGCCCGCTCTTATAAACAACATACACCATACCATGTCTGTCTAGTGCGAGAAAATGCTTATTTCCACAAATCAGGCTTTGCGTGGCGCTTAAACCACTGGTAATTGTGTCAACGAACGTATGTCCAAAAAATCGAGTCTAACGAATTTCGGTCTATTTTCAGAATATATAGTTTTCGTGTCAAAATACCTTTAAATAAAAAAGTTGATTTTTTTGTTTGGACATGTGTTTATTGACACGATTGCCAGTGAAACGTAGAACGCGAAAGCCTCCAGCGCCCTCCTAAACAAGATTTTCCCGTGCGCGTATACACTCGTAAGACGAAGGTGTGAACACCTTTCCAGGGGCGTTAAAGTCAAAATGCGTTAACATTTTAGTTTCTCCCTTGGTTTGCTTCAGCAGAAAATATTTCGAAAAATCTAAAACGTTAGCGCCTTTAGAACTTTAATGCCTTTGAAAGGTGTGATTTCTCACCTTTGTTTTACCAGGGTACCTGCTTCCCATCATCCCCTAGCAAGGAGACCCTTCCGCACCAAAAAAGTTTCCGGTCGGGGCGCAGCAATGGCTCCTCACGCCCGACTCGGGGTGTGCACGGAACGAATAGAATGGTCTTGCCGTTAAATGTTTCTCAAATTTTGAACCTCGCAACAAACTCTGCAGATTTCTTCTCTCCTCTATAAAGAGAGCCAGATGTTTCTATGACAACGTAGGGCCCCGTGCGTTAACATTGTGCACGGGGTAGCTGAGCGAAGTGCATTAAATTTATAGAAGACACAAAAAATATAGAATAAAACTA